TGCTGTGGCTGCCCTAGCACCTTTTCTGGTGTAAATTTGCATTGCAGGACTGCACATGAGACTCACAGGAGAGATCTTTAGTCTCCCAGTGGAGCCCTGAGTTTTTGTCCATACACCTAAAACTCCCACTCTCTGCTTTACCTAATAATGGTTTAACGTGGTGAGACACCTTTGGCTTTAAAAAGTAGTATCATAATGTTATTACTTCAAAGCTGGTTCTTTCTTGAGACATAGTAATGTGCTTTGCCCTGTAAAACTCTAAATGCCCATCAATCCCACCAACCCAGGCTCTGATACATGGAAAGAAGCTGAGACCTCCCTCAAAACACCTGCTACAGCCCTTTCTCTTATTCCCTCTCTGCAGTTTGCCTTCCTCTTCCTTTAGGATGCTCACGCTCCTTCCAGCTCCTTTCCTTTTCCCTTTCATTGCCCTTGCCGCACTCATCCTCTCCCTTTTCTCCCCAAAATTGCTCAGACCAGCATGAACATGTTCTGCTGAGATGGTTATAGGCCATAGGGTATGGTTCCCAACAACCATTGGAGCAACCATCCCKTCAAAACTGGGATCTTTGGACCAGATGGAGTGGAAGAAGGAGATGTGCTTTGTGGAGGATCTGAGCTGCCAAATCGTGGAGCTGCTGGAAGCCAGCAGAGTACCCAGCATCACACAGGATAGGAAAGGAGTTGACTGGACTTTCCTCAAGACTTCAGGAGCCCAAACATCAGTGGAGGGTCARTTAGAGTCTGTGCCTACCAGGTCAGAAAGTGGTAGATGCTTGCCTTCTGCAAGGTAGACTCCTGCTCCACCGAAAAGAACTGCAACCGCTCCACTGAAAAAAAAATGCAACTTTGGGATGGGTTCCTGGACTTCAATACCCTTGCAGAGCTGGGACCACAGTCTGATGGAGCATGGGTGCATGCTGAGATACAGCCATGCAGGAGGACTTGGAAGAAGAAGCAAGTGGTAGCAGGGAAGACCTCTCACTGAGGTGGAGGAAGGATCTGCCCTTCAAGCAATGCTTGCTGCTTGCTGGGGCTTGCACTCAGGATGCTGTAGAGGGTCTATTACTCCTGCTCCGCTTCCATGTAACAGTGATACTACCAGGGAAGACTTGGAGGCTGTTAGATGTGACTACAAGGCCCTGGGGACATTGATTAAGGGCATGAGGTGCCAGGTAGTGTGTCCTGAAGGCAGGCAGGACAGGACATATCTTGGGTCAAAAWGTGATTCTACAGCTGGTACTGACAACAGAATTTTGACTTCTAAAACCATGGGATCTTATGCAAGAAGAGATGAAATAAACATAAAAAGAAAAAAGGGAAAAGTATATTTACCAGTGTGCTGACCGGACTGGTAAGGAATGCTTTAAATTAGAAATGATGTGGGAGGCAGCTGATGACTAATGATCAAGTAAGGAAGTGGTGGACACAGTTGGCAACCAAACGTTCTGGGAAGATGTAAACAAAATAAATCTTTTAATCAGCCGAACAACAAATCAATCCTTGCATATGCATGTAAAATTAAGAATGCCTATGGGACTATGTTATGGGAAAGCTTTCCTGACCCTTCTAAGAAGTCAGCATGCTGGGGGGTGCTTCACCCCTTCCGAAGCACCTGAACAGTAATGCATGCAGCATGGGGAGAAGATAAGAGAAAACATAGGGCCAAAATCTCACTGGGATCGCAGAGACACGGTGGGAGAGCTCACACGACTGGGGTGCTGCAATGTGTGGATACAGTTTTCTCAGGAAGTTGCAGGGGGGATGAGGGAGGTTGCCCTTCATGTGAGAGAGCAGCAGGAATGCATGGGGCTCTGCCTGGAGATGGCTCTCGGGGGACTGCTGAGAGCTTGAGGGCCAGAATCTGCAGGCACAGCACAATGAGTGACACTGTGGTGTGTGTAGGCTACAGACAGCCCTATCTGGAAAAAAGAAAAAAAAAAGAAAAAGGAGATGAGACCTTATTCAGACAACTGGAAGAAATCTCACGTTCCCAAGCTTTGGTTCTCGTGGGGAACTTTAACCACCCTGATATCTGCCAGAGGACAACACAGCAGGGCACAAGAAACCCAGGAGTGCGTTGGTGGCCACTTCCAAACACAAGTGATTAAGGAGATGCTGAAAACTCACAGACCCAAACAAGGCAGAATGGCTCAGAGATGTGAAAGCCAGTGGAAACCGTGGTAGCAGCAACCACAAAACAGCAGAGATCACGATCCTGCAAAGAGAYAGCAAAAAGCAGGATCACAGCCCTGGTCTACAGAAGAACAGGCTTTGAAGAGGTTTCGACCTCCTCAGAATGCTGTTTGAAATAATTCCATGGGACATAACCCTGGAAAGAAAAGAGGTCCTAGAGATCTGAGTGATTTTCAAGGATCACCTCCTCCAAGCTCAGGAACAGCCCAGTCAAACTGGAAATGAACCACAGGCAACAGGAGGCCTGCACTGATGAACAAAAAAATTCTCATTAAACATATACAGGAAGCATACAAGAGGTGGAAGCACAGAGAAGTGACCCAAGAAGAATATAGGGATACTGAACACACGCTGTTGGGGTCAGGAGAGTTGAAGTCCACCTATGGTTGAATCTGGCAGGGGATTTTGAGGGTAACAAGAGTCTTAYACACAGCAGCAAGAGGAAGTCTTGGGAAAACGTGGGCCTGCTGCTAAATGGGGCAGGGCCCCGGTGACAAAGGACACCAAAGGCTTAGGTCCTGAATGCTTTCTTTGCTTCAGCCTTTTCTAGTGTAAAGGAATTCCAGAAAGCAATGAAGTCCTAGCTCAATGGAGGCGGAGGATCGGATTAAAGGACATTTAAACCAACCAGACATGTACAAGTCCACAAACCATGAAGACTAACCGTGAATGTTGAGGGAACTGACTCAGGCCATTGTGAGACCACTCAGGATTATCTTTGAAAGATCATGGCATTCAGGAAAGATTCCTGAGGCCTGGAAGAGCACAAGGTCCTCCTCGTGCTCCTATTGAAAAACTGAAAACTCCTCTTTTTAAGAAGAGTAAGACGCAGGATCTGTGGAACTGCAGGACAGCTATTTCAGTCCCTGGGAAGGAAATGGAGTAACCAATCCTGGATACTGGATAGTTTTTCCAAGCACACAGGGGAGGAAGGCATCTGGAGTAGTCAGCATGCATTTATGAAACAGAAATCATGCATAATCCACCTGATAACTTTCTATGATGAGGCTTGGTAAATGAGGAAGAAGCGGTTAATGTTGTTGTTTACTTTGACTTTAATAAGGCTTTTGACACCGTCTAACATAACATCCTCACAGACAATCTGAAGAAGTATTCGCTAGGTAACTGCATAGTGAGGAGGACTGAAATCCGACTGAATGGCCAAGTTCAGAGGGTTGTAATCAGTGGCAAAGTCCAGCTGCAGGACAGTCACAGTGGTGCAGCCCAGAGGTCAATACTGAATCCAGCACTGCTTAATCTCTTCACTAACATCATGCACAACGGACAAAGGGCACTCGCAGCAAGTTTGCTGATGAGGAGCAGCTCATCGATCTGAGGGCTGTGCTGCCATTCAGAGAGAYCTCAGGGGATTAGAGAGATGGAACCTGGTGGAGTTCTGTGACAGAGGAACCTCACGGAGTTCAGTAGGAGGGGAACCTCATGGAGTTCAGTAGTCAGGCATGTCTGTAGTGCTAGATCCAATCCTGGACTCACTGCAACAAGAGAGACTTGGACCTGCTACAGCAAGTCCAGCCAAGGGCCATCAAGATGACAAAGGAACTTGAGCTTCTGTCACATGGGGAGATACTGAGAGGGCTGGGACTATTCAGTGTGGGGAATAAAAGCCTGGAGGGATTTAATAATGTGTGTAAATAAGGGAGGATAGGAGGGCCCATCAAAAAAGATGAAGCCAAACTCTTCTCAGTGGTGCGCAGTGACAGGACAGGAGGCAACAGGCACCAATGGAGACGCAGGAAGGTCCATCTAAACATAAAACACTTTCTCACTGTGAGGGTGACAGCACCAGAAGAGGTTGCCTAGAGTGTAGAGCCACCATCCCTGGATATATTCAAGCCTCCAGATGGATACCATCATGGGACTCTACTTGAGCAGAGGAGCTAGATCAGAAGGCCTCAAGTCCCCTCCAGCCTTAACTATTCCGTAATTCAGCACCTGCCCAGCGTCACCTCCAACCAAGTCAGAACTGCTCTACTTACACCATCTCCATAGTACATGGATGTAGCCACGACTGCATTAATCTGACGATGACCCTGCCAAAGCTCAGYACAGCAAACGGGATGTGAGTCAAAGACTTTGCACTCTTACTTCCTTTACCTGCCGGTAGTGGTTAGGGGTGAGTGCTTGCTTTCTCTAACCAAGGGGACGGAAGTGTGTGGTTTTTTAGTATAGAGAAAAGGGAAATGTAGTCCTGCCATTTCAAAAAAAAAAAAAAAAAAAAAAAAAA